GGGTTAGGTTTTATGTGAAAAGGAATCATCTCTCCCAGTTCCAGTCACTGTTCACCTACTTCACTTCAGCACCAGTCTTAGTTGTTCCTCGGTTGTCCCTGCTTCATGGCAGCCATCTCTAGGCTGCTTCTTCTCCTCACCATGGCCAAGAGGAAAAAAGAACCCCAGTGCGACCTCACAGGGAACCCCTCTTTGCTTTACCACCTCTACAGGGCGGTTTTGGCTCCTTTCGGAGCCCACCAATGGGGAGAACTCAGCACGGGAGAGACCCGCTCCTCGTGCCCAATCTCACCATGACATCAATTGGAAGCCTGAGTTATTTGATTTTAAGGATTTATTGCAGATCACAGATTCAGATATTTGTTTTAAGGATCTGACTAATTTTGGATCTGAGCCACTGTATTGAGAAAATATTTGGAGAGACTTTTATTCCAAACCAATCAGAAAATATTTTAACATAGAATATATATATCATTTCATTTCATTAGGCTACAGCTCTTCTCATGTGAAGAAATGTATGTGGCAGTGTTCACACATCTACTTCAATATGGCATGTATTAATTCTTTCAGCATAAAAAGATAAACAAGTGCTAAGAAATGAACAAATAACTTTTTTTAAAAAAATGCACCTTCATCTTGCACAAAGAACACAATGTATATTACCAGGACTGCTTCAACTTGATGAGAGAGGGTAAGCACAGAGCAAACTGTTCAGCATACAAGTCTGTAATGTCAACTTGTACACATCCATCTCATAAATCATTCCAATGTCCAACAAATACTCTCTCGTTACCTAATGCAGTTTCTTCCATCTGTTTCTCTTTACGAAGAAAAAACAGAGACTTCTGTCTGATCATATCAAATCAGCCTATTCTCCTCTCTACCTCAGTAGCTTCGGTTCAACAGTTCTTTAAAGCTTCAGACTTTTCCAACTATCTGCACATAGGAGACTTTTCCCACTATCTGCAAACACTTAGGACCTCATAGTATATGCACTATGGTGATAGTTAATCTCAACATACATATCCCCCCCCCTCAAAAAATATTGTATGTTTCAAAAGGGAAGTGACTACTGCTGCAGCTTACACAGCTAACAGGAAAAGCTCTTCAAAAAATAGAAAAGGATCTTGCTTATGCTTCTCTGAAGCTGATGAGGTTGACTTAAGGACACCTCCTCTCCTGGCTACTTAGGGCCCTCCATGACATATGTCACTGCCTAATCAGTTTTCTTTCCAGACGAAAATTTGATATTTATTCCAATAAGAAGGGAAAGAAGCTCACTGGTGAAACTGTATCACTCCCCATGACTTTAAACTGGATATCCTGGCCTTTCAGCCCACCCCCCTCCCATGATCATATGATCAAAAATCAGATGCTTGGCAACTGGTTCATACCTATGGCCATTGCTGTTTCCCAAGGTCATGTGATCATCTTTTGCAACCTTTTGACAAGCAACCAAGAACAAGGAAATTCACTTAACAACCAGGTTACTAACTTATCAACTGTAGTGATTCACTTAACAACTGTGGCAAGGGAGGTTGTAGAATGCGGCAAAACTCACTTAACAAAGGAAATTTTAGGCTCAATTGTGGTTGTGAGTCGAGGACTACCTATACATTTAGAATGTATTTAGAAATTTTATTTTTCAAGATGCAACTGCTACCAAAGTAGCTTACAAATGTCATTTACATTTTTAAAACAGAGAAAAATCTGATCTCCTTCCTCCAAAATTATGTGTCCTGGGGGGAAGAAAAGGTACAGTCCTCTTAGTCCTAGACCAAGACTCTTGGGTTAGTCTCTGTCTACCTTTCTCCTTCTTTTCTGCAATGCTTTTGGCAATTGCTCTGTGCAAGCAGTATTAAGAAGCAAGCCAGAAGAAGGAAAACAGTATGATCAAAATATTTTTTTCCCTCCTTTTCTTCTCAACATTAGGTATGGGATCAGAATAGAACATTTTTACTGGAAGAGTCAGTTTGATCTAACAGAATAACAAAGCTGGATGGGATCTTAGAGGTCTTCTAGTCCAACCATCTCCTGTTCAAGCAGGAGACTCTATACAAGACCCTAGATCGAGCAGGAAATCCTAGAGGCGGACACCTTGGAAATTCTGGGGCAGGGGGGAGGGAAGGGTCACATTCTGTGCAGGGGACTCTGTTGTAACTTTGAATGGTTGCTAAGCGACCAGTCATAAGTTGAGGACTACTTGTAGAGAGAGAAGAATGTGTTAAAAAAAAATAAATAGAAATACCATTATAATGAGAGAGTAATGTGCTAAACAACTTCTTTTTTTCTTAAAAGTACACCTGAAAGATGCTGAGAACTATCCAAGCTGTTTGATTACTAGTCCAAGAATGGATTAAGAACCTGTTTGACTAGAATGTAGGCACCGTATGTTTATTATAAGGGTAAAAAACAGACCTCTCCTAGTCAAATAACATAAAGTACTTTGCTATTAAACTATTGAAGGTAGCATTTTATTTAGTTCACCAAACTTCCCAAGATAGCTCAGGATTCCACCCGGTTTGTGGGGGCAATAAGCTGACTTTGTATAAAAAAGAACACCGCTTAGGGGCCCCCCGAAAACCCTACTAAGCAGGTATATACAAAAGTATGAAGGCTATTGCTTAACACATTGTAAGCCACCCTGTGTCTCCGGAGAAGGGCGGCATATAAATCGAACCAATAAATAAATAAATAAAATATTGATAAAGAAGAATATTTATAGCTCTGGGTTGAAATGTGGGGTCCTTGATGCTCTAAAGGAGGAAAAAATGACTAAAACAAGTCCCCAAAACACGTCCCCATTAGCAATTAACACCTAGGTGAGCTTAGATTAATCAAGGAACTGCCAAACAAGCTAATAATAAACAGCTCACTAGAATATAAATTGAGAGCAAATCTTATTCCCTTACTAGCACTGATGAAGTTACCTAGTTTGGGTAATGAAACTTCTGCAAGAAAACAACGAAGCTCAGAAAGCACCAAAGACCTACCATTTCACATATTGTTCAGGATTTATTTATCAAATTTATATAGCTACCCATCTCATAAATGTGACTCTGGGCGGTGTGCAGTAAAACCAACAATTAAAACCGTCTTAAATAAAAATTAAACCAGGAAGCATTAATCAGTAATAATATTTAGTATTTGTATGTGACTTATTCAAGGTTTTCTTACACAAGCATTTTAATTTATGAACATAAAAGACTTCAGGCAGATAATGAACAGCTGGGAGACTCAAGGATAAATGAAGGACCTGTCTAATTAAGAAGATTAATGAGATTTTTGATTAAGAATAAGCACCAACTCACAATGAACATCTATTTTTAGAAGCCAATGCCCAATATATAGTCAACCACACTTGCTGAAAAGGAAAGAGAAGTAATGAGAAGATTAGTGATGGAGTTCAACTGATAACTTTTTCATAAAAGATTTGAGTGTTATTGTTGTGCCCTCTTGGGCTATAATATAACAATGATCGAGTCTTAAAAAGCAAGTATTTAATAGCAGGAATACCACATAACTATGAAGTTCCTTTTCACTTTTTTATTTACTCAAGAGGGCTACATTGCAATTCCTGTTTGGAAGATTTCAGAGACCAATATTTAAGTCCATCTGAATTCTTTAAAGTTAAATTAGTGAGACATAATAATGTGCAAATTATATTCCAAGATGGTTACAGGTCTCTTTTATTCAGATTCTGTTTGCTTTTGTTTGATATTTATTTGGTTTTTTTCTCAGTAAAATTGCCTTGTGACTGATTTGAAGGAGAAAATAGAAATTCAGAAGGAATTTAACACCAAATTCCAAATGTCTACACCTATAATTTAAAAATACTATTCCAAGGAACAACATTCTAAGAAAGCACTTGCTTTGCAAACAGGGACATTTCCTAGCATCTCCAAGTCAGGATGGAAAAAATTCTCATGTTTTGCTAATCAACACACACAATAATAAACTCCCCTATCACTGCTCTTTTATTTACTTTTGAATTTTGAATTTTATATTATTTTATAACCTAATAAAAATGTATTATGGTGAAAAATAATAAACTCAGATAGCTTGACTTTGAATAAACCTCTTGCTATATAGGTCTTTCTAAAATATGGAAAAGGATTAATGATTCATTTTGTAATCAGTTCTTGGAAATCTGAATGCTGAATGTGGCAACCAAATACTGAATGTGGCAAAACATGGAATAGCACAAACAATATTTCAGAACATCACTTTCACCATATTCAATAATTGAGTTTGCTAGAAATAATAGAGAAAGGCAAATATTCTGAAACTGATTTTTATTCTTCACATGTGAGGCTTCATCTATTTAAAAAGAAAATTGTATCTGAAATCTAAATTGGATTAAAAAAAAGTATTTTCAACAATTTTGTTATATCTTGTATATATTTACTGTTTTTTGCTTTGTCAAATATACTAAACAGATCAAATTCATAATCTCCATGGCAACATTCTTTTCTGCAGACTGTCTAAAATGAAGAACCACAACAGTAGTGGCCAAATGTAGGGAGTGCAATCAAGCAAATATTTGTTGCTGACCTATTCAGTAACCGCAAGAGGACAGATCACATGTGGTACTTATGCTCCAAAATGTAGTGTTTATGGCCAATGGAGACACTGACAATGGTTCTAGAAAAATGGTTATAGAATTTCCAATCAGGAAGGCTATCAGCCAGTCTCCTGACAATTCTTCTACTGTGTTTCCCCAAAAATAAGACCCTGTCTTATATTTTTTTGAACCCTGAAATAAGCGCTTGGCCTTATTGCCAGGCGCTCAAAAGCCCGATTGGGTTTATTATTAGGGGATGTCTTATTTTGGGGAAAACAGGGTAGTAGTAGTTCTGGAAGATTAGGATAAAATATTGCATGGCTAACAGAGGTGGAGGAGTGGGTAGATAACCATGTATACCAGTGAAAAATGTGGAAGGAGAGTGGTTAAAATAGGGTTAATTTTAAAAGCAGTAATAAGACAGTTGATTTCTTACCGTTAAAGAGAGGGCCATGCAGACAAAAGTAAACTTTTTGATGTGGGTTCCTGTGACAGTACTGCTGGAATTCACCATTTTATTGCTGGGATTGTTCTAAGGTGAAAGGGAGAAAAACCAGTGCCATTAGCTTTAATAGAGCAAATGTATATTACGTTCAGGGGCAAATCAATAGATTTTGTCAACCTAATCTCTACTTATGCATTCCTTTAGATGAATTTAAAGCTGAGTAAATTTGAACTGAGAAACTTTAGAAAGTAAATTCTTTACTGGCAAGAATGCAATGAAAGAGTGTCCAAGAAAATAGGCTTTGCTTCTCGAAGTAATGTCATAGTTTTACTACCCATACTGCTGCTCTTGCATGATGAAGAAACAAAAAAAAAAAAGTTGGCTGTAATTTTGCTTATTGCAGATTGCAGCCACAAACTCATGAAGCTGCTTTCTATAGACCCACATCATTTCTTTCTAATCAGAATCAAAACGAACCGCATCCCACAGGCTTACAGAACTGCATTTGCAGTATTTCATAATTAGGATCCTATATGTAGAGAGGCCTTTGAATCTGAGCTGGATCTCTTCCATTCAATAAATTAAAGCTTTTCACATAGTCATAGAACAGTAGCTTTGAACATCTTGCAGCATAAGTGATAACACTGATTTAGTGGGACTTACTCTATAGATTGGTTATCACCACTGAGTGCAACTTCTAAATCGAACACATATAAGAAATGGGAGGTTGTTTTTCTATGCCAGTCACTACTGTATAAATTGGTTAGGGATCATTAACCTTCTCTGTTTGTCCATCTTCTCTCCAATTCCCTACACTTTAATGGGAATTTATCCAAACCCAGCCCTGCAATTTGATGCAGCAAGATGCTACTGCAGATGCTGAATACACAATATAGTAAACTCTTATTTATTTATTATGGTAGGGGTGTCTGCCTTCTTATAATGTACTTACTGAATTTTCAGGCAAAATTTTCCAGGTTCCTAGAAATCTATTAAGTCCAATCTGATCCATATAACAGCAGTTGTTTTCATAGAGAAATATCCTCTCATCTCTCCCCGATGATCTAAATTACTGGACTCTGATTTATCCTATGTCTAATTAGCAATAAAAGTATCCTACAGAAAATGAACACCTGAACATCTGGTTTTTATTCACTCTAATGATTTGTACACATACTAAGTGACTTGATGTTCTGTTCTGCACAAAGAAATTCCAGATATCACTATGCAAATATTAAAAAAAAAAAGAACCTATCTCTCTGTCCCTGAACCCACCCTCTATCTAGATAGACAGATGGAGCTTCTGAAACAGAAGAAAGTGTTCATCCTAGAACAGCTGAAGCAGTGATATCATTCTTAAAGGGAGCTATGGATAAAAGAAAGCCGAGGAACACACACATACTTTTAGTGTGCATGTGTATACCCATCTTTGTGCATCATTTTCTTAGTTTATTAGTTGTGAGTCTGAGACTCAAGGGGAAAAACCCTCAATAGCTTTTTTCAGGGTACAGTGTAAGAGAAAGTTTTCTGCCCAACACAGATTGCTGAGGCTCTTTTTATGTTCCATTGTATCTTTGTGCTCCATCCTTTGTTGACACATAGGGACACAACAGAGAAACAATTACCTTACAATTCCTTAAGCAAACAAAGGATTAACCTTTTGGCATGGAGGTCATTGTTCCAATCACTTCATAAGGAATAAAAGAGGTGGAGCTGTTGAGCAGGATGGAGCAAAATCTATGTATATATGACAGTATCAGGAAAAGCAATCAGACTGACAGAAACTAGTTTGTTCACTCCTCACAAAGCCTATTTCTTACAGAGTACTCTTGGCAAAACTGCATTTGAAAGGAAAACTAAGGATTTGCTCTCATCACAGAAAACAAGCTCACCTTGTCAAAAGCAGGGTAAACAGCTCGGATCTCTGTCAACCAGCCATATGGCATGTGTCCCACTGGATACGTAGCTGTCAAAATTGCAACTGCCTAAATTGCGAAGGAAAGACAAAAGATTACAGATCAAATCTTCAGAGGCAGCTTGATTTTTACCTAATATTCAAATACTTCTATCACTGTTAGATCAGCAGTATTTTAAGACTGTCAAACATGCACCTGCTTCATGACGACAGTAAATGCAAACAACTGGCACTAAGCAAATGAATACCTGGATTCACATATTATATTAAGTCATAATATTACTTTAATGTTGACTTAATATGTCTGAATCCCATAATTATGGTTTGTAAAACTGTGATTTATGGCTTAGTACACTATGGCTTATTTAATAAAAAGCAGTTAAAGCAGACCACAGCACCGTGTAGTGTATGAACTCAGTTTATGATTTGCAGCAGCAGCAGAAAAATTCTAAGTTGCAACAATTCTAACTCAACTGCAACTGCTCCAAAATATATACTCATATCCAGTAGACCATTTTGATTTGATGACCATTCTCTAATGAAATGTGGCAGAATTGTTAACAGAGAATTACTGTTCAGAATTGTGGTAAAAATAAACCAAACTATGATTTATGTGTTTTGTGTTTCTACGACAGTTTAGTTTTTTTCATGGAATTTCTCAAAACATATACCACAAAAACATGCTAATCTGCATCTGTACAAAGAAAGATCCAACTGAGACTGGAAAGCAGAAGCTGAACTGAATAATGTTGAATGTTGTACTCAGTAATGAAAAGATATTCAGTGATTGGACAATATCTTATCTAACTACTTGAGACTGTCTATAGAATTACGTTTTGGAAATCATGACTAGAAACACAAGCAAATATGGTTGCATTGTAGATTATATCTAAACTACATCAATCTAGAAATTTTAGCAGTAAAGGGGCATGCACACAATTACTAGGATCATCTCAAGATTCTTTAAAGAAAGTGGACAGGCCTTTTAGTTTAAGTATCAATAACCCATATCTTGTGTGATCAGAATAGGTTTTTCTTAATCACATTTAAACTGTTTTGAAAAACATTCTCTATTGTCCATTCCAGGGTGGAAGTTCAAAATCTTATTCTTCCATTTCAAATTCACTGGGCAAATTTTATCTCAAGTCTATTAATCTCTTCAGTTTTGTTCTAAGGGAAATCACTTAAGAAAACAATAACAATATAATCTCATGGTTTAGAAAAAAAATTCTAAGGCAGGGTTGCCAATTAAACTATTTTATGCAAAGTAAGTGGCACACTTCTCTAGGAAGCACATTCACGAGTGTAAATAAATATTGTGATATACAGCATGGTTATTTAAGAAATTACAGAGTTGCATTTGAAAAAGGGAAATGGATTTCACAGAATTGCAAAGAACAGTTTAGGCCAGGGGTATCCAACCTTGACAACTTTAAACCTGGCGGACTTCAACTCCCAGAATTCTGCCAGGCTTAAAATTGCCAAGGTTGGAGACCCCTGGTTTAGGCCATCAAGTTTAACTCTCTGCTCAGTACAGGAATATAAACTAAAAAAATCTCTGATAGCTGTCAACTCTGCTTGAATACAGCCAGTGAAGAGAAGTCCATCGCCTCCCTGGCTAAACAAGTACACACTCAACTCACTTTTTGCCATTATGAATGGCAATATTCAGTCTGAATATTCTGATATTCAGTCATAATTCGTGGGACCTAAATATATTCTGAATTAATAGATCATTTTATTTTTTTCAAACATTTGAAAAGTGTTTTGCATGCAAGAAAGCAGAAGTAATATCTGAGCCAACAACATGTGTCTCATAGTCTAACTGTGGTTAGGAATTCAGAAGCATTAAAACTGAATTGGGCCCAAAACACCCATCAAGTAGATCTGGCAGCATTCATAAGCTGAAATTTGCAGTACACTCTGCTTATGTGCCAGGATTTTCCAAACTGTTAGTGCTACCAGTGCTTTCTCTTTTAGCAATGATGTTTTCAGAAACAGAAAGCAACAGAACACACGAACAATAGACACCAATGAAGTCAGTTATCAGCTGACAAGATGAGACACATTTCAACAAGAGAAAGTTGAAAGGCATTCTTTGCCTTCACAAGGGAAAATATTTCCAAATGGGTGGTTTAAAATATTAATTACACAATTTGTGCTCAGTAAAAGTTAATTGTTCAATTAAGTACATGTTAAATATCTCAATTCTATATTTCACTTCTTTACATTACTTTGATATACAACTATATTAGATAAAACCTCAAAGGTCTTAATTTCCATGAAACAGAATTATATTAAATAGCATGCTAGAATAAAGGTTGTATATTTATACTTATCCTATAAATGTGAGTGACTTCATAGTGGGGCAGAATTCTAAGCATCTGATCAGGTACCCATATTTGCAAATATCTGTAGCTCGGGGGTATAGGATGAGAGTGAAGATTTGTTCTCCGAGCATGTGGGTTTCATTCTGAAACATTTCAGAATGTTTCTTTAGAAGACTAGGTAACATCTTCAGTGGAGTTTAGGGGATGTCAGGGTTCTTCTGTTTATAAGGGCTTCAGGCATGGGTGTGTCAAGTGACGGTCTTGTTATGGATCAGGTGTGGGTGTGTCAAGTAAGGGTCTTGTGATGGGACAGGTATGAGTCATCCATGAGTTTTATTTTACATTTCAATATATTTATATATAAATTTGTTTAATTTACACTGAATACATGTAAATTACTGTATTCACCTCTAAGGAAGAAGATTCTTAATTTAATATCTCTTCTGAAAAAGGAACAATAGACAGAAAAAGTGCAGCTTTTCTGCCACAAGTCAAGGTACTGATATTATTTGGGAAAAATACATAAAGTTTCTTTCAGGTACAGACAATAAATCCAATGTTGTTTTTTAAAATCTCCATCTATTTCTTTGGTCACAAACTTTTGGGAAAATAGCCCACCTGCAAAGACCAAGTGTAACCTTCAATTTGAAAAAAAAAATGCTGTGCAGCCCTCTTCATTAAGTGAAAAGGAAGTCAACTGAATTTTTCCTGAGTCAAAATTACCCAGAAAATTTAGAGAGAGAAAACTTATTTAAATTAAAAAGAAGACTTGATGACAATTTTGATTGGAAAGTCTTTCAGGGATCCTAGCAATATCAAAAACGAGAAAAGCAAGTCAAGTCATGGTGGCTAGAACTGCAGGAAATAAATCCAATACAGCTCAGAGCCAGTAGCATGGGTAAACTACCAATGGAAAGTCAATATATCTTCAACAGCTGGACGTGATGAGTTTTTAAAGGACAGGGAGGAAACATAGTTCTTTTGTGAAGAACAGATCTAAGTTCTCTGCATAAATATAGATCTCCTATTAGGGACAAATAGAAAATTAAAGCAAATTGGATTCATACCTCTGTGGCTGCCGAACTGCCACCAAGATCGCGGGATACAAAGAGGTTCACAATGGGTCTACTGATTCTCTGAGTGGCCAAAATTAATGCCAAAGGCCACCAGAAAGTTAGCATCTTTTTTATCGTAGCATCTCCCTGCAGATAAAATGAGAAAAGTCAGTGTTGTTAAATCACAAAGCCAGAGCACAGCCATTAGAGGAGCTAAAGAAATTATGTTACAAATGCTCAGACTGTTTCAAGAAAGAGATGAGAAATAGTATTAAAAAGCTCCTAAGCGTATGAATAAAAAAGGAACTACAGATTCTTAAAAAATATTGCCTATGGAAATACAGGAATATTACTGTACTAGGGCGTTCAAACTATATTTAAGAATTTGCTAAAATTATTGTACTATAGCTACAATTCTGTAATGTAATATTTTAAAAAACAGTTCTTCTCATACATTTTTCTGCAAAGAAGCATCTTGGAAGATTAATGACTTTCATCACCTCTCTATTGGTTCTGCATTTCTTTTAGTTCTATGCTCATTTCCTTGGCTTGATGCTGATTTGCTTCTTAGTATCAACACAAATAAGAATGAGACAAGAACTATCGGCAACAGGACTACAAGAAATACTTTGGTTTTAGAGATATTTAGGATAAGAAGCAACAGTGATATAAAATGATTGTGGCATTGTATACACTAAGCCTGACATATGCTGCTGAAACTAAAAATAAATAAGTTACACTGAAGCTAGTATATTTTATTGCCTAGCTATGAGTATGTAACTTTGTACAAGACTTTGTACTCAACAAAAAACCATAGGCATCTTTATAGGAGCTTTCCAAAATACCATTGATCTCTTACTATTACTATATATTTTTTACACTGCATTGTTTTTCTCATTACATTTTTCAAACCTATCAAATAGCAAAATACCAATTAAATTTAAGGAACATCTTTTAAAAAGCATCCTTTAGTAGCTAACAGGAAATACTAGAAAGAGTTTTCTCTTTTAAAAAAAAATCAACATTACACAACTCGAACTCTGTAATATAATTAAAAAAAAAAAATTTAAAGCAGCATTACCAGAGTTTGAACTATAACTCTATAATACAAATGGATGTATTGGATGCAATTATACAGGTAACATATTAATGTATCCAAACTTACTCCCATCTCTGGCCCGCTATGGTCAGGAATAATATCATGAATGTTTCTGTAGTAACCCAGGCATAACGTGGTACATCGGACGAGTGCTCCCATGTACAAAGACAGGATTGGGATGAGAAGCGGCTCTCGGCATTCCAAGTGACTGTGTAGTAAAATAGCCACAAAAACCACCTATCCAGAAAAAAAAAAGAGGAGGAAGACTAGTTAGGACAAGCTAAGACAGTCAGAAGGCTAAGTCACTTGGGGCATCGTTTTCCAAACATGAGATATGTCTTCATTATTGTTCAGGAATATATCCTCCGAAATTGCTAAATGCAGATGGTATATATTGTTTTTCACCTTTACAAGAAATAACAAAGAACAACTCTTAATGATTGATTTCTATTTCATGCAATGAGAAATTACTCCTTTTTATTATATAGATGTGTTTGAAAATCAATGTCCCCATCTTCTCAATTGTACTCAAATGAACCAACGTTTTAATTAAAGAAGATATGGCCAACATTTTCATCAAGAAGCTGCAGGTATAGACACACTTGGAGAAATGAATTTGAAATTACAGGTAATGGTGCTGAAAAAAATGGCAAAAAGAATGATCTTTGCGCTTACAACTGTTGCAGCATCCCCACAATTATGTATTATCAAAATTCAAGTGCTTGGCAACTGGAATATATTTACGACAATTGTAGTGTCCTGGGATTATGTGATTGCCATTTGTGACCTTCCAATGGCTTCTGCCAAGCAAAGTCAATGGGGAAAGCTGGGTTCTCTTAATGACTGTGTGACTTAACTGCAGTGATTTGTTTAACAACCAAGGCAAAAAAAAAAAGATTGTTAAATTGGGGACGCACCTAACTTAAAAACTGCTTTGCTTAGCAAAGAATATTCTGGCCCCAACTGTAGACATAAGTGGAGGATTACCTACATTTTAAATAATTGATGGTTTAAAAAAAAAAATCCTGACCATATATGGTGGGAAAAAAGGTGGTGCTGGTGAAATAGGAACAACCAATAATTGGACATGGGGCAAGAGGGTCAGCAAGGAAACAGTTGCACTGATGTAGATCTCATCTACTTCCATGCATTAATTTATAATGTTATACTCATTAAGGATACTTGAAATCACATAATGTGAGATAAATGGCAAGAGGCAGCAAAGTTTTAAATAATAATGTAATCTGATTCAAAGTTTAGCTCAACAATCTTTGCAACATTTCTGCAAAACAGGTTATATCAATATTGCTGATGAATGGCTGAACCGAGAGAGTTCTGCTTAATTAAATGAATTAATGATTTTATTAAGACTACAATATACTGATATTTAAAAGGCATTTTGGGTTTTATATGATCCATAGAGAAACTGGAATACAAGCAATACATTATGAAACAGAGCACATATTTTTAATTTAAAATTTAAATTTAAACCCGAATTTTTGATTCATTTTGTAGTAGTCTGCTTTTCTGTGTGAGTCAAGATAATTCTGATTAGTTTGTCCCTATTTCACAGGATTTTCAGGGAAGTAAAAATTGAAAACAGTTGAAAACTAGAGTTAATTGTTTCCCCAATAGTGTTAGCAACTGTGTTTAAAAGCTAAAGAATGGAATTAGAATAATCAATGTCCCTTTCCTTTCTATCTGATGGCATACTCTTTATATTTAGTATAATTATTTTAATTGCAAAGAACAACTCTTCAAATAAACATAACCAATAAAGTAAGTTTGGATGATTCTCTTGAGACAACTTTACAATTCACAGCTAATGCATTTGAATCTTGATACATTCCACATATCTCCAAAGAAAGAAAGAAAAATAACATCCATGTGGGCTAATTAGTGAATTAGTGAATTAATGTCTTTAATGAGAGTGATTACGATTTAATGGAATATTTAAGCAAATATACTGCATTCTGTTACATTGCTATCCACTTAGTTTTATATATTGTTTAGTATGCACTGAAAGCATTAACTGAACTGAAAGATCATGTTAAAATCTTTCTTAACCTGTTAAGAAAACATGTTAATTTGGAGAGTTGGGCAAAGAAACAAAAATGAAGTGTGCTAAAGATCAATTTGTTAAAACAGAAATTTTGAGGTAATTATATTCAGGATGTGGTAACATGTAGGTTTTTGCCACAAAACTGTGGTACGATTGAAAACTAACAGAGAAAATCTCTCTGGGTTGCCTTTCTGATCCAAAAATTATTGTGTGATTAGTCTGAGAGAATAGTAGGGGGAAAAGATAAAGTTTGAATTATAGTATTAGTTTAAATACAGTCAAAAGTATATTTAACGGCATTCATTTTAGCACCATCTAACAGTTAGATGAGTCATTAATAGCGATTATGACACAAACAAACAAGAGCTAAGCAACAACACTGTAATTATAACATTATAGTATAATAGTACACGCTGATGATAAACATAGAGATCAATAACATTATGTATATTTGTGCGTACATGTATATATGAATGTGTGTGTGTATCTAGTTAATGACAGCAACATCAGGAAGAAGGATTATGAGAAACTGGAGAAGTAACAAGTCCTGAAGGAGGAAGTAAAGGCCAAAATGGTCCCATTCATGATAGGAGCACTCCTATGACTCCTAAACTGTGAGACTGGCTCCAATAAATCTCAGGAAGACATTTGAACTCTCTGCTCAGAAGAGTGCAGTGCAAGGAACAGCTAAGATCCTATGCAGAACCCTCAAACCTCAGGCCTCTGTAGAGGATCTGAGACTGAGGAAGACACAGACCACTCTTAAGGGTGAGAAGTGGTTTTGTTTCAACATTAGCTTCTTATTGCCAATGTCCAGGAACTGGCAGCCCAGAATCTTCAGCATGAATTCATGCATGTTCAAAAATATAAATTAACAAAGATTTTTTCAAGCATGGAAATGGCATTCATTTAACTGGACACTTCCCAAAGCAAAACTAGTTGTAAATTGAACAAATTCTTACCTGAGCAATGACATCTGAAATGGAGGCACATCCAACCAGAAAGCTGTGTTTGTGTTTCAGAAGAATGCCTGCATGTGTCCAAGCCTGACAAAAAGGAAGAAAAATAGATCATCAATTGGGATGACTTTTAGTTCTGGAATACCAGTAAAATAAATACAGATTGCACAACCACAACATTTGGTTGAATGGTTCTGGAACAAACATGAAAAGCCATCATTTCTTTCTCTGTTCATGAAGGTATGAATCTCATTCTATTATGCATGAAGATGGGAAAATGTTTTCTAGCAGGTTAACATTGTTTAGCCTTGAACTCCAGATGTTTGATTACAATTTCTATCCTCCCTAGCATGGTCACTAGTCAGGAGTTACAAAGGTTACACACCATCATTATTTGGGAAAGATTATGACAGTTTCCACAAGCATACAAATAAGTCAATTAAAAATGAACTATGGATACAGGCATATTTTTTTTTTTAAATTTGATTTATATGCCGCCCTTCTCCAGAGACTCAGGGCGGCTTACAATGCGTTAAGCAATTTTAAGCATTATGTATAATGTATACATATACAAGTTATGTATAATTATTTGATTATTGTTTGGGACATAAGCTAACTCTTTAAACTGACTGGGACAGTGGACATTTGTTGAATTACAGTCAGGGAATGTGACCAGAGTAACTGGAGAGAGTTAACTTCTGAAAATTACAATAAACCCTCAACTGACTGGACTGTGAATGTAAACACTGCCTGTTAAAGCAAAATGTCCATTAAATTCAAACAGAATTTTACATATGCAGACACCTACAGTGAACAGACAGATTTTGACCATGGTATCTGAAGCCCACTCAAGTAAGGTCCATTAAAACAAGGATTTATGTAATAATTACTTGTGAAATAAATGAGAGATCGTGAGGCAGCTATCTTTGTTAAAAAAAAAAAAAAGGCCTTTATAGAAGTCTTTGAAGAGGCTGAGCTTGTACTAAAAAAAGCAAGAAGATAGAACAAATTTAATTTCATGGAACAAACTATAGAAGCTAAATAAACCAAAGCTGTAAAAAAAAAAAACCCACTATCTATTTTAAAAGATCTCCAAGAACAAGAACAGCAATCTCTTTTGCAGACTCACCATGGCATCCATGAAAGGAAAAGCTGCAAGATAAAGGAAGGCCTTGCGTGTTTTACTTCCCACAGAATCGTCAACATGATGCAACTTGTTAATGATGTAGTAACCCAGATCACTGTATGCTGCAGAATAATAACAATAATAGCAGTACTGAGTAACAGTAATAAGGAGCAATAGCAGTGATTTTCAACAGTTCTATTACAGTAGACCTTCCCCCCCCCCCCCCCAAAAAAAAAAATAAAAAATAAGGGAGCACCAGTTTTTCTTCCAGGGATTGCAAATGATTGAAAGAAAATTAGAGTTGTTGAACAAAGTAGTTTTATGCTCCTTTCTTTGGTACAATTGTGTATTATACTATAAGGCTCTTGATTAAAAGCAAATAAAATATTATCATAGGTAATTATTTAGAAACAGTGTACTAATGATACATAAGCACCTTATTTAAGCCAATTCCCTTAAAATACACTATCTGTTACCAGATAAATCAAAATAAACCTATTTTGGTTGCTAGAAGATTTATTTACTCATATCTTTATTTACTTATATCTTATCATAAGATACTGGATACTTTTATCGCTCAGAATCTTCTTTTGTATCACCCCTGTGTCTTGTTTTGTCATCAATTCTGTCTCAGAATGAGTCACCATTGTAACTGTCCATAACTGTTCATTCTTCACTCCTAATTCAGGATGCTAGTCAGCTGAGTGTCTTCTTCACTCATTTTTACTCAGCTCATTCAGTCTTCTCCCTGTCTCCTCTCATCCATCTTGTCTGCCACACTTGCTGAAAGATGGCATTGTCTATCTTAGCTCCCTAATTGTTCTCTTGGGAGCTGGGGGAAATATTTTATGGTATCAAAACAGGATTGAAATACATGCATAAGATTTAGGTCTCCAGTCTTGACCTGTTGGGAACTGCGCCATACAAGGGGTGAGTGTGTGTGTGAAGCTTCATTTGCACCTGCTCGGGATCTAGACTGTACATGTGAACCACCACCCCACCCCCCCGCCACCACCACTGCTGATCCATGGAGCCAGAAAGGTTGGGGACTGCTGATAAGGATAAGCTGTATAACTGTAGTTTTTCAAAAAGCTGTTATCCTCTAAATCAGTGGTATCCAAACTTTTTGGCATCAAAGACTGGTTTTGTGGAAGATAATTTTTCCACAAACGGGGGGGGGGAGGGATGATTTCAATTTTGCTCAGTTGCCCACCACTCACCTCCAGCTATGCAGTCCGGTTCCTAACATGCCACAGACCAGTACTGGGGGTTGGGGACTCCTGCTCTAAGCGATTACTGTTCTTAAAAGCATTTTGTTATTCTTTTAAGAAACATACTTATGAAACCAAAAGAGATTCAGGGTTAAGTCAGAAAATTACGCTGAATCCAGTGGACCAATTTTCTCCATTTTCAATATTCAAAATATTAGTTGCTTTCAAAGATCTTATCAAGGAACTGAGTACTGGATTTATATTTTACTGACAAATATCCCCACATAATTCTGATTACATTCTCTTACCAACTGTTGGCATTTACAGTTTTGAAAAACAATGATCTCATACTAGCATGATGAAAGCTAACACATCAAAAGTGGCACACCACCTCAATGCTTCATCAGTTAATCTTATCACACTAGTATATTTTGAGGAAATACATGACATGGTTAAAAATGTTATCACTCATATAGAATAGATGCTCGGTTTTATCTTTTATGTTTAATTGTTGATGCTTTAATTAGTTTTGTTTTTAATTTTTTAAACCTGTAAGTGACCTTGAGGTTTTGCCTTACCTTAATAGGGGGGTCTAAAATGGTTTCACATGAATAAATGCTATTGCAAAATGTGTGCAAAAAAGAGAGAACAGCACTTCATTCTTTCCCCTGTGACACTTAGCCATATCCAATGTTGGATACTGGAGCCCCTTCATTTCAATTGTTTAATGCCAGTTTTTATGCACTCCGTCTGAATCTCTTCTGACTTCCCTCTATCCATACATAAACTATTATTACAAAATGAAGATTACAATAGACTGTGGAGATAGAAAAACCCATTGCTGCAAGAATTTTAGTTAGTGCTTACTCTATGCCAAAATATCACTAAGTTTTTCAATTCTTCTACTTCAATCTTGTTTAAATAACCGGTTACAAATAAGGGATAGGAATAAACCTGGAACCCAAATAAGATATATTTTGCTATTGGTGACAACCTGAGGATACCTTCTGCTAAGAGACCTGCCTTTGATCAAAATTTGGAGAGTAAGGGAGGGAAGTTATAGTTCTGGCAAAATTATAACGGACAAATGCCTAAGAAAACTGGATGAACAAAAAGAAGTTATGTGTCACCCAATCATTTGAGCAGATGGGCTATTTCAATAAAAACTATGAAGCAAACTTACCTATCAAGGTATGAAACACTGCAGCTATAGCACCAGCTACAACCATACACAAAACTGCTTTGGTTCTGTCTCTCTTACTGTTGACAAAAACCAGACCCACATTTTTGAAATCACTCATTGGTCCTGTGAAAAACTTCATGAGGGAGTATGCCAAGCCATAGCTGGCCAGCATTTCCACAGCATCTTCCTTAACAGCTGCAATACCTCTATTCAAGGCCTAAACAGACACAAGAAAATAGAAAGGAAGAGACATTAACATATGCAAAATATTATTAAACATGATTACTTATTTTTAATCAAAGAAAGTAAAAAAGACCCATACATTTTTACATACATTATTTTATTTAGCTCAGAAAAGGGACTGTTTCTACATAATATTTTTGTGCATTTCTATTTCTTTATTCATAAATTTTAAAAATGAGCCCAAATATCACTATCTTCCATTTGTAACCCTCCTTTTTTTCTTACCACAGAAATCAGCAATATGGAGTCCATAGGTAGCATAGCACCTGTTGCTCCAAAAAAATATAACCATAAAATTCAGTCACATGAATATGGCAAAATTGCACATGGAACCTCATGAAATTTCAGTTCTCACATGAGATCTTAGAAGCTTTACTTTGGCAGGTAGGTCGGATACATTACATGATAGCACCCAAGGCCTGACAAAACTGTTAATTAAAATTATAAACCATGTATTAAAGAGGAAATAACACAATAATTGATACATATGATTTGATTTGATTTGATTAGATTAGATTAGATTTATATACCACCCTACTCCCGAACATATGCTTTATGAACTAGGAACCTAGAAGTATCCTTGTATATTGTACCCTATACCTGGTGCTATGCTTGGTTTGCACTGTTTTAATTTCTGAAATTATATGTGTAAACAATGAGAGATATGGCCTTGATGCAAATACAGATAGTCCTCGACTTACAACAGTTCATTTAGTTACTGTTCAAAGATACAACAAAAAGCAACATGATCGTTTTTCATATTATATGACTATTGCAGCATCCTCTTAGTCACATGATCAAAATTTGGACGTTCGGAACTGGTTCATATTTATGACGATTGCAGTGTCCTGGGGTCATGTGATCACCTTTTGCGACCTTCGGACAAGCAATGTCAATGGGGTATCCAGATTCACTCGACAACCATGTTACTAATTTAACAAGTGCAATAATTCGCTTAACAACTGCAGCAAGAAAGGTCGTAAAATGGGGCAAAACTCACTTAACAAATGTCTCAACTTAGCAACAGAAATTTTGGGCTCAATTATGGTCATAAGTCGAGGACTACCTGTATGCAAGAAACTTAGATAAGCAAAGGCGGCTGATGCCTTCTTTAACCTTGCAAAACAAGGTAACATTTAGAAACGCACTTCAGGTAAATTAAATACCTCCAGTGGGGTATAAGGAGAGGAGATACAGCACAATCAGACTTGCAGAAAATGTTAATATAGCCTATCTCAAGAAAGTGTTCAGCTAATTTGATTTCCCCTTCCCCCCCAAAAGAAAATATATTTCAACGTACAAAGTGAGAAAAACTAACCTATTCATAGAAATAGGTTAAATTTTTCCCACTCTAAAATGTTCATGAAAAAGTGAATGTACACCAACTAAACTTTATATACTAAGCATATATGTTAAGCAAACTTCTTTTGCATGCCCGTTCCGGGTTTCAACAGTGAAAATACATTAATATTGCTTTATTCCATTACATGCACTATATGATGTTAATAAACAACATATAAACCATTCAGTATCCTTTTATTCACAAGGGCACTGTTTGTTTCCACCCACATATAGCCATTTTTTTCATGGCTTGGTTGCTTTAAAACAAAATCACTGGGTTCACCGAGGAGCATTTATCTCCCTTCTGTTTTCTATTTGTGTGCTGAATTTCTGGTTGTCTGACTTTTAAGATAGAAAGATTTAAAGACCACTTCCCTGTTCCATGTTCTAAAATTCTCTTGATGTTCCTTTGTACATCTATATATACTGTACATACATTTGAGTAGTACAGTCTTTTCCATCCTTCCATAAATATGATTCAGTGTCAAAGTGCATAGAACGAAAGTGAATTTATTACTAGCAAGCTGGCAGCCTGACACTATTCATCTGACATAATACTCTTGCTCTCCTGATTGCCCAGATAAAAGAATGATTTAAGAACAGGATTTAGAGCATCAATGCATACAGAGAAAATGACTGACTCTTCACATAGTATTTTGCCAACAGCTGCAGAAGAGTCATACTGTAGCATGGTAGAAAGGTGGGGAACCCATGATGCAATGGAAGAAAATAACAAGTGTTAATTTGGCTATGACTCAACAATGACCGCAGAAGCCTTCGCGTAGAAAGTATTCCTTTCACCTTTGGCTGCCCTGAGCTTCAAAACATTAGTTTGAAAGAGCAAACCTTTAGCAAGAATGTAATTCCAAGTGAAGGGAAGATTATTACTTGATGGTTTTCTGGGGCATTTAGGGATGAAAAGTGCTTAAGGGGGAAGGTGGGAGTAAATTACAAGGTATATAACTCTCATCCCCAACTTAAGGTACATTAAGCAACACAAATTTGTATAATTCAATTTGCTTCAGAAGGTTTGAGTCATGTAGAATAAGCTCTTTTTTAAAATTAAAACTTCTAAAACTCATTGCTACAAAATTGGTCGTAAGTTTAAACAGCTATATAAATTCATGGCAACTATAGGTTTCAGAAGGTAAATTAACCACAGCAGCTAAATGGAACCTCTATGTTCACAGAGAGCAATTATTAAATACTAGAATATAAAGCATGTCAATAGAGAGGACATTTATACATATAAACATCAGAAACTGAGCAGGATATATTTTTAATACCTGATTCATGAAGCATAAATAAAAAATAGAAATATTTGTGTTTGATTTATAACAATTATAAAATGATTGGCCAGGAATCACATTGTAGAGCTATATGACACCCTGACCTTGTGTGGCTGTGTACTTCTTGTAGGTTTTTGCTAATCATTCATCATGAGATAATGTCTCATCTCAGTTTTTCCAGAAGGAATAGTTCACTGGACAAATTATGGAAGGTCTGACAGTGTAATGATGCCATGCAAAAGTTGGTTTTCCAGTGGGTGGCTACTAAAATAAATCTAACCCAAACCTTGGTTGCTGAGTTTAATTAACTACCTCCAGACAAACCAAATGTTTTGACTGACCAGTTCAGCATTTCCTTTTTTAAAGCCAAAGAGAAAGAGCTAATAAATAAAAAATGTCAAATGTTCACTGGTATAGTCGCTAGAAAATCAGTTTTTCCCCAAACACTGGAAAGCTGGGTTAGTTCCTCGACCTCATCCAGATTAAACTTGGACGATTCATGTCACTCCATATAATATAGCTGTTCAGATCCTTGTCTAAAAGTTTATTTATGTGCCCAATACATAAAAGATTATTCTGCTTTGAACAAATTTTGGAATCTTACAAAGAACACAGACGTCATGAAAATAAGAAAATAATTCTTATGATTAATAGGTATTTTTCTCAAATAAAGATATTGCAAGATAATTTAGATCACCCCAATAGTATTACTTCAATCACAGGGTATACAACAAAAATAACAAATATTTATGAAAATCAAAACAACACCTGAGGAAATCTTAGTAATTCTTACTCTTTGCTACAATGGATAAAGTATTCTTGCAATGAGGAAACTGACTTTTACTAATTTACAGTGATATATATACCGGTAGCTTAATATAATTAGTGTCAGCATTCTGATGCTGCCATAAAAAGACGAGGCTTGACTTTTTACCTACATATTTTCTCTGTAGATAATATCCCTTAGGGGGATATTATAAAATATTAGGAGATGGGATGGGAGGGGGGAACATTCCTGTGGGGCGAGGTCAGAAGCTGGGGAGACTGACTTGGAAGATGGCCAATGAGAAGATGAGAATTGGGGAACGGAAAGGGAAGGGTTTGGGGGTCAGAGGGTTAGTATCAGCTACGACGAAGTCGGGGCCAGATCTGTCGTACTCAATGAATGGAATTTTTCAGCAAAGATTAATTGTTTGGGAGTGCAATTTATTTGAGATGACATCGAAACCTGACAATTACTACCAATTGTACTTTTGGGGAAAAATAAGATATCAATATGTTTTGTTTTGTATTTCCTTCCAAACTAATTAGATAGATAGCTGTCATCCTTATCAGTCCTAAGACCAATTTAAAATTGTAATGGATTGGCATCTACAATAAGATTTTATGACTTCCAGTACATAATATATACCCATCAGCAATATAGGATCTCATCTTGCTCCTTGGCTGTTAAAAGCAATCAGATAAAATCATTATCTAACCACTATCTGTAAAAAGTCAAAGTAGATTGCTGTAATCCTTCCCTAATGTGTGGGAGTGAATCTTAATTTAAAAATGGTATATCAAGGCAATAAGCATCCACCTTAGCAATGTAGGATCAGGAAATCAATAATAATGGCCCTCGAAGGAGAGCCACCCCAGAAGTTAATAAGTGTTAGTGTACATAAGGCAATACTTGGTTTGCTACTGCCAATCAGACATGATGGAAAGATGGGTAGTTGATGGGAATAAAAAACTTAATTTTGTGCAACCTCAGAGAGACAGGAAAATTGCTCATAAGCCACAATGCTTTATTTTGCTGAGCCAAGAGCAGCTCTCAATATGAAATGTTCATATCTGTTGATAACGTCAATATTAAGGTAAGAAGCCAAGAATACTAGGTGGGCCTGGGAAAGACTATAACAGAGGTCTAGAAAGATGGAACATTTGCTGCCAAAATAACAGAAAAGCATTATTATACAGGTAATGATGGCATTTCCCATAGAAAAATAATTTGTATATGTCTCAGTGTGAATTGTTTTGTAAAGTTAAAAAATAAATGCAAATAAATGTAGAAAAAAATTAAGAAAGGAAGAAAGATGAAGAAAAAGTGTTCAAATAATGGAGTGGGAAGAAAAAAACTTAAAAAGCATCTTCTCATCTTTTTAGAGAATTTGTAAACATACTTGATATTGTTTTTTGCCTTGAAAATCACATTATATAGTTCCCTTCTTCCCAGGTACAGCTCATTTTAATTGCTAAATCCAGAAATCACATTTTTTATCTCTTTTCAGCAAGAAAAAAAAATATAGAGAGAGCTTCCAGTTTTTCACAAAAGTTCTTTTTCCTTCTCTAACAAAAAGTC